ACTCTGTTATTTTCCTTGTGCGGCAAAATATCCAAACTGTAATATCTCTGGGATGAAGCGTATTATTGCTTTCTTTGTTCTCGAATCACGCTAACATTTGCCTATAAAGTTGTGTCACTATCTTAATTTCTATGAAAATGCGACATATCTAGTTTTTCCCGTGTAGTCTTCATTTTATTTCCTCAAATAGAATTATCTCATTTCCATAAATTTCCTCCCTGGATAACTCCTCAACCTTCAGTTAACCTAATTAATCGTTCTTTTAAACAATCTGAATACACCCTAATAATTTCACTATATTTTTAGGTATAAAACCAGTCCAATGTGATCGGTGTAACAAATCGTACAAGAATGCCAAAACACTGGTGGCTCATTTGACTCAAGACTGTGGTAAAGACAAACAGTTCCCTTGCCAATATTGTAACAAATGCTTCAAAAGAAAGTCTCAGGTTAAGGAACACACGTTGAACATGCACTTTGAGCATGTCAAATCTCTTGGTCTTAAAAATTAAGAATTTTGCATAAACTTAATAGCAGAATCGTAACAAACTATTGCCAGAAAAATGTATTTGACATGTCAATTATATACTTTTAACTAAAATTACTAAGTATTTTTATTATATTCATTACTATATAGATTATGTCATTACAAGAGGAAAAAAATCATCATCATCATCATCATTTTCAGCTTTTTCAACCATTTCTAATTATGGTTGCAGCTACCCTCACATATTTAGATACTCTCTTTGTAGTTGGGCCTATTGTTGTCTATTATTGGCTATGCGGGTCCAAGTTATCCCTGCTAATTTCCTAATATCAAAGTCCTAATTTTTTGTGGGTACCATGCTGTAATTTTTGTGGTCCATCTGTTGTCCCTCCTTTTTGCCAGGTGTTCTGACCATTGCCAATTGAGGGATTTGATTCTCTGGATGACATCTATTACCTGGGTCTTTTGTCGTATCCACTCTATTCTTTTACGGTCTCTCTTGTTTATTCCAGCATATTTCGTTCCATTGAGCGTTGTGCAACCTGCAGCTTCCTTATAATGTCCGTTTTAAATGTCCAGATTTCGCATGCATAGGTCATCACTGGTAGAACACATTGGTCGAATGTATTCTTTCTTTAGATAAAGTGGCATTCTCGATATGAATATGATTGAATTTTTTCCTAACCATGCTAACTTAATTCTTCTGTTGATTCCTGTAGTAGAGATCCCGAGCTGTGTACCAGTTGTCCCAAATATGTATATTTTTTACTATTTCCAATATTGCGTTATTTATTGGAATGCCTTTTCTGTTCACTTGTTCATTATACATTACTTTAGTTTTTGCTAAATTCATTTTGAGATCCACTTTATTTCTGGCTGTATTTAGTTCATTGATTTGTGCTTGTAGTTCTTCAGTACTATATATGTTACGCACAATACTCGAATTCGGGTAATGCCCGAAAAAAATGCACAGAACTAGTTTTGAGCAAAAAATATTTCCCAAACTCGAAATTGTACATTTAAACGGGTATAGCTAGCGGGATACTGGATCAATTTTTGCTCGATTGCATGTTTTCCATCGGCATCGATCCATAAGCCGAAGAAGTATTGACCTTGATTAATTTGAAGGTTATTTCTAAAGAAATAATTCTTGTGTGGGTAGTTCTTGTAAATTTACCGGAGGCTGTCGAAAAGGGCTTTAATGTAATGGTTCGGGGTAGGTTTAATGCTATCTTGCCAGATCTAAATCAGTAGATTTAGGGAAATTTCTCGACTATAGCACCCCAACCTATATAAATCTTTTAACATCGGATATATCTAAAACTACTGATTCATATACAGGGGTATCAAAAATTGCTGGTCTATTTTAAATATTTATTTTACATAAAAACTTCGTTATTTCAAATACAATACCCTGTATTTTTTAAAATAAATCGAAGCAGATTTAAATGCTCTTTTAAACTATATTAGGGTTTCCTATACCTATCTAGCTCAGATTTTGAATAAAAAGCGATTTTTCAATAAAATGGCAATCAAGATCGCTGGTGTCGCCATGGCAATTTGCTAGTGACAGTTAGTACCTATTTTCAAAATCGACATTAGTTTATGGACTTTATTTAATTTTATAACAGTTTACTTTTATTTAATTTACCTACAATAGTTTAATAAGTAAGTATTTTTATTTTATCAAGAAAAATAAAGAAGTAGTTCTTTTAGATTTATATTACGATGACTTGTAGATACTATATTGGATTTTCAATAAAAGAACCAATTGAGGCAAATTCACTTTCTTCACTTCCAACGACAGGTTTCTGCCTAATATTCATATACCACACTACCAGCTCTGCGAAATAGGAATAGTTGTTTTTCAAAGGAACGCTTGTCAAAAAAATTCCTATTTGGATATCTTTGAGCATAAACCCTTCAGGCTATCAAGCAATTGTCCTCACAAAATAAAATCACTAGTAACATATCCATTCCTTCCGTCAGCAGATACTGCTTCATTTTTCTTGATAAATAATAAATACTTACTTAATAACTTTATTGTAGATAAATTAAATAAAAATAACCTGCTATAAATTTAAATAAAGTCCATAAACTAATGAAGATTTTGAAAATAGCTACTGTAGCGTTCTTTATAAACATTACCACTGCGAACGGCAGCTTTTCGTCGGTAGAGCAGTCGTGGATAAGGTTTTTAATGGAAAGAACTAATTAACAATAATAACTCGAAATTATAAATATTGGGTGCCAGGCATGAATAGAGAAAGAAAACACAGTTGTTTATTACTTAAAACTAGTGACTATATTCATTCATGATTTTCTTTGCTGGTACATGACATTGTAAAGTTCTAGTAAATATATAGTGGTTATATGTCAAAGAAAGTGGTGTTAAGAGTTGTACTAAATATCTATGAAAACAACTATGATAAAATACAAGACATGTAAAGTTTAAGAGAATGTATAAAATGTAGTATTACTTTAATTAATTTGATATATTTTATGTGATGTTAAATCGAAGATGTTGCAACCTGTAGATTCTAGAATCTATGTTTGGTTATTCATCTGTTAAAATAGTGCAATAATAATATCTATAAAAGTAATACCATTACAAGGCGTAATGCAATGAAACCTAAGATCTAAATTATATTTTAAATATTAAATCGACATGAATGTTCTTAACAATGTAACCACTAAACATAGTCTGTACGATATTACTTAAGATGTACGTTATTGTTTAAGACTGAAAATGTGTTAAATGTTAAATGTAAGCTAAAACTTAAATCTAAACTTAGCTGTTCTTTATGTAATCTTGCTTCAACCAGTAACATCGTGAGGTGGGCTCGCATCTCTGTACTCGGCCATCCAATACAACAAAAGGTGCCAGAATGAGGACACCATGAATTGGAACAGCCGTAACTACTAACTAGCTTATGGATGGGAACGAAGCAGCATGGGGCTCAAGCTACATCCACGCTGGGGCACTTTATATGCAAGAAAAATCATTCCTACTGGGGACACTCGTCCACAGGACATCCGTACATAGGATAATGGTACAAGGGAACACTACCCGTACCTTGGACCATAACTTAGGACTATAACCTTGGAAATAGAATACGAAACTCTTGTTTAAAATCAAACAAGGTCTAACAAACAAAATGAACCTACCTCGAATTACTTCCGAGGGCTCACTAAATAATAAAGAACATGTCCTTTCTTCCATGTGACATTCTGGAGGACAAAAGAAAAGGGACGCCAACGTGCCAGCAAAATACAGATACAAGTTAGGTTGGGACATCCAAAACTCTACCCTGTAACTTCGAAATAGCAGCTGATTCAAACTATACAGCAAGATTTTTATAATTGCAGTTTCTCGAAGCAAGGATTTTTTGATGGTGACAGTCGGACGGTCAAAGCCAAGTGAAGTTAAGCACGGAGAGAGTCGACAGAAGCGATGTTGACAGCGCCTCCACAGAACAGTGAAACGATAGCAGGGTTGCCGACTAGAGAACGTAAAAATTACGCGTCAAATAAACTATCCGGCCTGAATGAGAGGGAATCCGGTGATGATAGGCCCAGACATCATATATTATATATAAAAAAGACATGTAACGAACTAAAAACGTTACACTACTAAGTGTCACTAGAAAATTGCCATGGCGACACCAGCAATCTTGATTACAATTTTATTGAAAAATCGCTTTTTATTCAAAATCTGAGCCAAATAGGTATAGGAAACCCTAATATAGTTTGAAAGTGCATTTAAATCTGCTTCGACTTATTTAAAAAAATACAGAGTGTCGCATTTGAAATAACGAAGTTTTTATGTAAAATCGATATTTAAAATAGACCAACAGTTTTTGATACCCCTGTATACATTTAATGAAGCAATCAAGTTTATTAGTAAAGTTTATTTCTATGGCTTGAAAGTCAGGACAAGAATTAATTCTGAAAAGTAATGTACGAGGTGATGACAAACTTTTTTTATTATAGCATCCATATTTAAATATCTTTAAATATCTCAAAAACCAAAGCTTTTAAACATATTAAACTCTTATAATAAATGCATTATTTTATGCCCAAGAATCCAAAAATGAAATAAAATATCGGGTGTTCCATAAGAAAAAACATAACTTTGGTATGAATCTTAGTTCTGACACACCCGGTATATTTCAAAATAATTTTAAATTATGCACATTGCCCTCCCACATGTACCCATAAAATATTTTGTTTCTACATCTCTCCGTTTTCGTATAATCAACCGAGGCGAATGAGGTGCGCCACCCTGTATTTATGACATACTAGAATACTCCTAACTTAATTCTAACTTATGTTTGTACTGTATGAAAATTAGCCAAAAAATCATTTACATTGCAATGCTAAGATGCTTATAGTTGCATAATGGGACCAAATAACATATTAAAAAACAGTTAACAGTAATGGTATTATAGTTTTAGATAAATATGGCTGCCAAGTCTGCGGTAAATATTACAATTCTTCCCATACGTTGAGGATGCACTGGATTCAAGACTGTAATAAACCAAAACACCACGCTTGTGAGTACTGTAAATTCCATTTCAGAAGAAAGTACGACTTAAAGAGACATGTGAAGGCAAGGCATCCTGCCTGAATATACTATTATTGGGATATTGTAAATTCAGTTTGTTTTATTAGTAGTAACAACTTTGGACAAGAAGATTAAGGAAGAATCATATCAAAAATCTTTGCTCCCAAAATAGCCGACTTAAATTCCGGTTTATCAGTGCCGTTCTAATTTTATTCAAAACGTATAAAAATATGATGTAGGGTAGATTCAATAATTTGTTGTTTTATTTTACGTTGTTAAATAAATGTTGGTAGTTATTAAAATTGTTATCTACATATACTAAAATAGAAAAATTCTAAATTGTGACTGACTCACTGATTAATCACGATCCTGCCCAAACCACTCAACGTAAGAAGCTCAATTTTGGCATACAGGTTGCTTCTAGGGTATAGAGGTGCGATAAGAAGGGATTTTTCGAAATTCCAGTTCCAAGGGGGGACACCACCCCTCAAATATTACAATATTTTTTATTTAAAAAACGGTCAAGTTTCCGAAAAAATGCTTAAACACGTATATTTTATTTTGTTTTTTACATATTTTAAGATTTTTTAAAAATGTATTCAGGGTGTTTCGAAAAATGTGGTCGTTGATTAATCACGATCCTGCTTAAAGCGCTTGACGTAAAAAGCTTATTTTCGGCAAACGGATTTTTCGAAAGTCAAATTCCAACGAGATGAAATAATGGAAATTCTTGAATAGCTTATCATCACCATTACAAATGATTAATTCGACGCGAACGAAGTCGCGGGTACACGCTGTTAAAGATATATAATTCTAATAAAAATAGAGAAGGTATAATAATTATTTATTAACACAAACATCCGATACGCTACTGAAGCAGGTAAACTTAAAATATTTTATTGTAAAATTTAGCTTGCTAAATAGTAACAAGCAACATTTTATAACAAGCATATTTATATTTATTATGCATAATAATGTAAAAAATACCGAGGGTGCCATTTAAAAATCAAAAGTTGTAGACATTTCCGGTGAAATCGGAAGTGACCGAAAACAATTGAATGTGTCAATCAATCCTACTTTATGTCGTATACATACATACCAAATTTTATCCAAAAAAATCCTTATGGGTTTTTCGCCGCTGCACTGCAAGAAAAATCTACAAAATAAAATAGTTATTTTTTGTAAACACTTCTGGCGTTAAACCTAAACGGACGCTGCTTGTCAGAAGTTGTGTTTACAGTAATAAAAATTTGCCTAACAAAGAAAAAAATGCTTAACGTTTCGGAAAGTTTTCTCTTTCCGTCGTCGGAAGCAAAAAAATATAAAGAATCAAGAAAAAAAAACTATTTAAAATATTTAAATTGAACTATTCGAGAACACTTTACTTTTTAAAACAGATACGTCTACAAGAAATCGTTGACGTTCTGTTAAATGACATTGTATTAAGTTAACCAGAACACCTTATCACTGAGTGCGCCGAGACGACGACCATTCGTGCCATGAACCTTGGCACGTCTAATGTCGAGGATGGAGAGCTGGCCTCTGTGGAGCCGTCTCAGATACTGGCTTTTCTTAAAGCCCTGAGACTGTATGATGAGTTATAACTCGTTATAACTCAAGAAAGGGGAACACACAATAGATCTATAAGGTCGCGGTGATTAACTCCCCTTCTAAACATTCTACATTCTACAAGTTAAACTTCAAAATTAACAATTACTACCTGATAATTACTTAATAAGGTAAAACCAAAAAGCCCAAACTTTCTGTATGATTATTTTTAAATTTCACGTATGTTATGTTTATTTATGTAATGTTCTTTAAAATCAAAGAAGCGATTGCCATACGTTACTAACATCTACAGATGCATGAGCAATACATTTATTTTTATTAGATTGAATTAAAAAAGCCTCTTTTATTTTTCTTTTAGAGACTATCGCTTCTTTCATTATAATTTTGGCGTTATTAAAATTTATTCTGTGCCCTGTATTTTAAAATCGCGCCTTCGATTACGTAACTCAAAGTTTAATTGGCATCGCTTACACTTGGTTAACAACATATTGAAACTAGTTATATTAATCTTATTATAATTTTAGATAGAATTTCTTGTGAGCTGTGTGGCAAAAATTACAACTCTAGCCACACACTAAGAACTCACAAATATCAAGACTGTAACAAACCAAAAAAGCACGGTTGTCCATACTGTCAAGCACATTTCGGTCGAAAATACGACTTAAAGAAACACATCATTAAAAAACATCAAACTAACAATATGCCTGTAAATAGCATTGCTTGAATTGTCTCGTTTATAACTACATACTTTATTCTTTCAATAAAAAATATGTTAAACTTAAATATGTTTGTTTTTTAAAGATACAAAAATTGATTCATCGCTTTGAACTAACCGCTGCACACCTGAATATAATAATAATTAATATTAATTAATACTTGAGGCATGCCTGCGCATAAGACAGTGTGTATTTAGATCAGAAATATATTTGCCGCTGCCAAAAATGGTGTACAATAAACACCAATTTTGGGAAAAAAGCACCAAAAATACCAAATTATTTCCAAAAAATACCAAATTATAACCAAAAATATGATTATTCTTTTTAGTATCTAAAGAATTTAAGATATTTGGAACTTTAGGACCTATTCATGTCAAACTACGATAATTAGGTCAGAAAAACATATAAGCTTAATTCGAGTTCCAAAAAAGTACAGGGTGGGTCAAATTCGACGCTTTTAAATGGAAACACCCTTTTCTTTTCGGAGATAGACGAAAACTAATATCGGTGTCTGGAGCTCAATTTTCATCAAAAACATGATGGTGAAAACCGCATATCAATATCTGTTACCGTTTCGGAGTTACGGGGTATTTTTCAAAAATGTGCATTTTTAACAAATCGCTGTAACTTTTTTGCTATGGAAAATTTTGTATTTTTATGAAAACATTTCCAAAGCACCTTTTTACGTAAAATTTAATGGTTTAAGTATAATTTTTTTTAAAATTAATAATTTAAGAGTTATCAACAGAAAAATTAATTTTTTATTTGGGACACCCTCTATATTTTTAATTAGCTAAAAAGAATTTAAAATTACCTTTCCAAAAATATAGCACATTTGATATTTTGTTATATTCCCCTTCGAAATACAGAATTTTTTAAAGTTCGCCACTTTTAACTAGTAGGCTTTGGGCCCCTAATTAATGATATGCCCTTTTTCAGCAAGACGACGCACCGCCTTTGAACGCTGAAGTTATCAACAAATTTTTACAGCCATATACAAGAATAATTGAATAGCTAACCAAGATCCCAGCTGTTGGCCGTCGAGGCCGCCTGACTTAGTGCCCATGGATCTTATCCTATGGATATATTTGCGGAAGAATAAAGGTTTCTTATTCTTCCGTATAATCTAGACAAGAATTAGAAATACTTAGCACTTATGAGAGGGTATCTTTCACCCCCACTGAGTTAATGAATTCCGCGAGAAATGTTCAAAAACTGCCCCGTCTGTCCATAACAGAAGACGGTCGATATGTCCTGTAGCAAAATCTCATGTCTTGGTTTGCTATTTATTTTTATTGTTATTAGATATAGTATTAAATGTGTTGATGTTGGTTAAATATATTTTAAATTGTTATAAAATTCTGCATCTCTCATACCAAATATTATTTTCGTTTTAATAGATGCTCACAGCTAGATTTTTTTTGCATTACAGCCTGTGCCGTTCAAAGCCTACTTATTTAAAGCGGGCAAATTTTTATATACTCTATATCTCGAAGAGGAATCGAGCAAAATATCAATTGTATTATATTTTTGGAAACGTAATTTTAAATTATTTGCAATAAATTAAAAATATACAGGGTGTCCCATATGAAAAATCAAATTTTCTGTTGATAATTATTAAATTATTAATTTTAAAAAAATTATACTTAAATCATTAAATTCTACGTAAAAAGCTGCTTTGGAAATATTTTCATAAAAATACAAAATTTTCCACAGCAAAAAAGTTACAGCGATTTGTTAAAAATGCATATTTTTGAAAAACACCCCGTAACTCCGAAACGCTAACAGATATCGATATGCGGTTTTCACCATCATGTTTTTGACAAAAAATAAGCTCCAGACGCCGATATTAGTTTTTGTCTATCTCCTATAGAAAAGGGTGTTTCCATTTAAAAGCGTCGAATTTGACCCACCCTGTACAGTTCTAGAACGGTTTAAAACAGTCGCACAGTCTAATTACGACAATCATTCATGTCAAAAGTTGCAAAAAATCATATTGTGCCAGTGTTTTGAACCGTTCTAGAACCGTACTTATTGGGAACTCGAATAAGCTACTGTCATGACACGTTTAAAAAGTCATGTTAACGGTTCCATTAACATCGATACTTCAGATATTTATAAAATAAAATCTAGATATAAAAAGTGATTGAATTTTTTTGTTATTTGCGCTATTTGTTACTTATAAGCTCAAAAATATAATTATATGCACAAGAAAAATAAGAAATTCTAACGAGATCCATATTATGTTTCCATGATGCGAGTTCTTTAGTTTCTCGACAGCACTACTTGATAACGGTCAGTGATCTTTTCTGACCGAAATGTTGTATTAATCAAAATAAATAAAGACAATGGAAGTCCGAAATTCTTTTAGTTTCCAATACTTAATCATTCTCTACCACATTCAAAGTAAGAAATAGGAATACATTAGTGTTTTTTTTTATTATTACATTTATGGGAGTAATAATAAATTTATGCTTGAGGTTAATGTGTCAGCAATCATTTAACTTAATAGGCTTTTTATTTATACAAATATGACTTTATTTTTGTTTTTTGTAGTTCCAGTGCTCTCACGCAAGGAACTGCCTTGCCCAAATTGTTACAAAAAATACAAGGGAGTGCAATCACTACAAATTCATTTGACTAGATGCTTGGACGAGCGCCAGTACGACTGTATATTTTGTTCTATTAAAATAGAAGGAAAAAATCGTCTAAGGAAACATATTCTCTGTACTCATTTGGATTGGCTTATAGCAAACTATAATATGAGAAATGTAGGTGCCATTAAAAACGAAAAGATAGATTAAAAACGGCGTGTAATAATTGTATATGCTTTTAGATCAAAATATTATACATTAAAATCCGTTTAGAGTCTCAGATAAACCAAAGTGTGTAAAAAGTGTAAACAGAGTTACACAAAACAATTAGTGGAATAAATTAGTGGTTTCAATTAGCTTAGAAGTTTGTTCCTTTAATTTCAATGTAAACATTCATTCATTTTAACTTTTCCACTAATTATACTTTATTACTACTTACTATACTTACTTAAATTTGCGGGAAATATCATTTTGGCCTTTGATTATCTTTCGTCAAGAGAAATGTGATTAAAAATCAAAAGTTGATTGTTTAATAAGCTAAAAATTAGACTTTCACTATGGATACAACTGACTACCGCAAGCTGTTTCTAGGATACTTTGTTAATTTTAGGGTGTATTAGTTTACCGGTCTGATTCGCCTGGTTTTGCAACGGAATACAGCCTTATTGTGTTTTTTAGACATTGTGAATGATCGTAAACTAAAAGGTATAAAGTGTAATTGAACCCACTAATTTATTCCAACAATTGCGAGGTTCTGAATGAAGCTTTAGTTTGTGCAGTTCAAAAATTTTGATTCAGTAAAATCTATCTCGTCTTGATTTTTAACTGAGCGTTTCCACGGTTTTAGATAATTGTGACATTTGTTGGTTAACAATTTAACGTCAGAATTTGTTTATGAATGTGTATTTAATTTTTAGGTGAGTTTTTTAAGAAACTTTATATTATGTGAGTTTTTTTTAACATAATTTAATATTATATTTGTTTATACAATACCCACAGGTTCCAGAAATATTTATATAATTTAATAAGTACCAAGCCGAAAACAAATGAGAAATTTTTAAATGAGGTTACACTTACGTCTTCTTTTTAGGTTATTTGAATAAAAGCCGTCAGATAAATAGCATGAACTACTAAGGAGCTAGCAACGTTTTCGAGAAAGTGTTTTAAGACGTCTGGCTCTTTGATATATCTTTTACTATGCTCTCTGGAACAGCATGCGGCCCGTCTGGCTGCCGATACCCGTTGCTGTCACTACTGCGCATCGGAAGAAGATCCTATATTTCTTATTACTTTAGTCCTATAAATTCTGGCAGTATTTCCTTTCCATCTAGATGGATTCTTTTCAAGTTTTTCAAACTTCGCTTTCTGGTGAATGGCACTACTGCAGTTTTATCTGAGTTAATACTCAGCCCGACAGTCCTGCACCATCTCTCAGCGATGCGGAATCCTCTTTGGATAATATCACACAGGGTGCCTTCATGTTTCCCCTGTGCAATGATGACTATGTCATCTGCGTACCCTATGCAGTAGTATTTAATACTTTACTATTAGAATATAAACGAAAATACAATAAAAAAGTCTTTGACCTGACCCGGATTCGAACTCTGAATCATTGGTTCGTGGTCGGAAACTCTACGCACTGCGCTATGGAGACATATTCGGTTTATATTCAATAGTAGAATTTATAGGACTAAATTAATAAAAAAATATAGGATCTTCTTTCGATGCGCAGTAGTGAACGCAACGGGTATCGGCAGCTAGACGGGCCGCATGCTGTTCCAGAGAGCATAGTAAAAGATATATCAAAGAGCCAGACGTCTTAAAATACTTTCTCGAAAAAGTTGCTAGCTCTTAGACTACAACTGAATGTATAAACGAAAAAATAGGTTTGCGCAAATTTTGTTCATTTGAGAGTCTAAACGGCCCTTTAGAGGTCTCATAGACGCTCAGTTCTTTAACACAGGCGGACTTTGCAGGTCGCAGTTTGCCCAGTTTTAGCTGTGCAGTTTTATGCCAAATTAAGTAATTAAGGTTTTAATTATTATTTATTATTTATTATTTTATTTATTATTTTATTTATTATTTTATTTTTTATTTTTTTTTTATTAAGTTATTAAGGTTTTTACTGTATGAAGCATAATTAAGCTGCGCATTTTTTTATTTCTGTCACAAAAATCCAATATGTTTATATTATTAATTTAAAGTTTGAAACACCCTGTGGAATATATTAAGACTGCAAGAAATTTAAAAATTTCTTGCTTGTTTCATTTTATTATCTACCTACATCCTATCTCGATAGTTTATATTTTCATTCATCCCAATAGATTTATTTTTGTTGGAGATATTCGCTTATGAAGAAAACACTAACATTTACGTACACGTACCTATACCTGCACAAGCCAGGTTTACACACGCAGTCTGAGCGATAAAACTGAGCGTCTGTGGGGGCCTTAAGTATGATCTAGGGTAATAATTGTATATGTCAACAAAGTTACCCAATTAATTTAATTCAAATATTTTTTTTTGAAATTACCTCATACAGGGTCGCTTTTGTGTATGGAAACGGTCGATTATTAGGTAAAATATAGGAGGCACCCCATAGGTATTTACAGGGTCGGTCATAAAATCGTGGCACATCAAAGTTTTATTTTTTTGAATGGAACCCTTTGTATATTATTGCATATTTCGGTTCTTCCTTCAATTCTAAGCAAAAATCGAAACACACAGTGTACCTCATACCAACCGTTTCCGAGTTATTGACTTTTGAAAATATCACTTAAACAAATTGATTTAATTAATTTCGATATGTTCAGTTTCATTTAACGATGCCATTTTGCCGAAACTGTGATACTTAATTGTAACTAATATTGTTAAACTGTCTTGTCTAAATGTGAACTAATATTTGACATTAGTTCTTAAGTTAGCAATGTTAACATTTAGAGATGTATAAAATGAGAGTATAGCATGTCTGGAAATTACAAAATTTTCGTTTAGCATTTCAATTCTTCAATTTATGTACACTGTGTATTACGATTTTTGTTTAAAATTGAAGGAAGAATTGAAATATGTAATAATATACAGGGGGTTTCATTTAAAAAAATAAAGTTTGATGTGACACAACTTTATGACCGATCCTCTATACTTAGATTTACTAGTAACTAATTGGAATTTAAAAGCCCATTACAACAGTATCATAGTTTCGGCAGAATGGCATCATTAAATCAAACTAAATACATCGAAATTAATTAAATCGAATTGTTTTTAAGTGATATTTTCAAAAGTCAATAACTCAGAAACGGTTGCTTTGAAGTACATTGTGTGCGCGATTTTTGCTTAGAATTTAAGGAAGAATTGAAATATGTAATAATATACAGGCGGTTCTATTTAAAAAAATGAAATTTTGATGTGCCTCGACTTTATAAATGACCCTGTATACTTAAATTTATTACTCGTTAATAGATATTTAAAAATCCTATAACTTTTGTATTTAACTTTTTGCAGTACCTCCTATATTTTATCTAATAATCGACCGTTTCCATACATAAAAGCGACCCTGTATAATATCTTTTTTACATAATGCCATACGATAAAAAAACGGCTTCAGAACTGGCTTAGAAATGACGATCATTGTCATTTTATATGTAAATTTATAGGAAGAATGTAAACGATCTTCATTTGCAACCCATCTTGACGCCGTTTATTTTTCGATTATACTGTAGAATATATTAATATTGCTTGTTATGTCGAATATTTTATTTTATTTAGCTCTAAAAATCATTTATATAAATGTTATATGTTATACAAACCCCAGAAATTTTATTTTTTAGTTTTGGTACATTAAATTTGTTAAACTTAAAAATAATGGTTTTATTAATTTACCATATCAATTATATTAAATAAATATCCTTAATTGAGGGAATAAAAAGCACGTATTCACAATCTTTTACATGCATGTGAGATTATAGTCAAAATATAAAAAATATTGGGAATATCTGCGAAACCGTTAAACATTTTAAAATACTTATTTATTTTTTATTTTATTGTATTTGATTTTCCGTATTCAATGTTTCGCCACACGTCATTGTCAAATTTTAAAGCTCATCAATATTGTTACGATGAATAGATTAAATATATTAAAAAAACAAAGCCGTACTTGAAATTAGTTTAAATAAATTGTATTTAAGTGCCCGAAACAAAGAAAATATTTAGTGTGGCATATCGTTGTACAGGGGGGACCGAATTCTTTCAAAACCTGAAATAAAAAATGCAGGTCCGTATTTAAAAAAATTAAGTTGGCCTATGTGTCTCACAAATTATCAGCTAATTTGAAAATCTGAAAATGCTGTCAGAGAGCCTGGATAAAGTGGATATGGAAACGTGCAATTAGTTTTTGCATTTTCTAAAAAGTAACGACAGGAAAAAATAAAATTGATTTCCAAAAATCTTTTATTCCAAAGAACTCGGCAATCCTTGAAATTTTTGGAATTTTTTTTGATGGCATCTTGGTGAACGGTTTCCGAGATACCAATGCTCGTACGTCGAATTTGTAGCACCCTGTATTAACATCATTATTTTTTGTTTTGGAGTAGTTTAGTTTCAGTATTAAGCGTTAAAAAATAATATAAAATGCCTCACTGTTCTTAAACAGTTCAAAATAATAAACTGTTTTATTAATTTCTTTTTTTGTACATATTTAAATTAATAACTAACAAGGTAAAGGTATAACTTTTCTAACATTATATTCTTGAATTTATGTAATGTATAATTTTCGTTTTAGTGGAGGTGTTTCCATGCGAACAGTGTGGCAAACAGTACAAAACAAAGAACAGTATGAAAGCACACAAATCCCTAGACTGCGGTAAGGACAATAGGTTCACTTGCCCTGTGTGTTTCACTATAATCAAGCGGAAATCTAACCTTAAAGCTCACATGAGAATGGTACATAGATTGTAAAATAACCAATAAATTTATATTTTTTGAAATACTACTTTTATTGAGACTTTTTTAATCATCCTGTAGAAATGTCGTTTAAGATTGTTAAATACACCAACAAGGTGTGTTTGAAAATCTAGGAGACCTTGTTCTCTGTTAAGTTGCATTCATTTCTTTAAATTTGAATTTGCATACATTTAACAGTACAGGGTGAGTCAACGATAGAATAAAGTCCATTATCTCATTTGTTTCGAGGTTTACAAAAATGTTAAATATAAAAGTTATAATATAGTTATATATAGTTATAATAAAAAGTGTGGCGGATATAACATATGTTTTTTTAAATGCCAAACACCCTATTTTTGCGTAAAATTCCATAACTTTTTTACATGTAATGATATATACCTAAAATTAATCGTTTTTGTAATATTTAAACTTGTTTAAACAAATGTTAAATTGCAGTGTTGTAAAAAATTGTCATTGTTTCTGAAGTTGGAATACCAAAATTTGGCGTGAGAGTTTTATAGAGATGAACAAAAAGATATATGTAAAAATATTTTAGTTAAATTCTACAGGGTGTTCAAAATATACTTATGAATTTCAACTACTTAAAATTAAAAAATCTCAAATTTTTTAAATGGTACATCCTATATATTTTCATTTTTTCTGATAGATTTTGCAAAGCTCTTCAACTTTTATTTGGTTTGCCATACAATTTTTAATAGTATGCGATTTATTCCATTTTTTTCTATTTTTACACTAATTTTTAATACAATTACGCTATAACATCATAGTTACCGTGACAAAACAAAAATATTTATTATCTTTAACAAGTAGTTTAATAATTAGTTACAATTATTAGTTAAAATTAATTAACTTTACTAAAATAAACTAAAATCGTAGTCCCGAATTTCTTGGTGTATATTATGAAAGATAACACTTGAATGTTCTGTCGGGGCGAATAGCCACAGATTAGGATATAATACTAACTAGATTAGTTAATTGTTGGCGATTACTGATATAGGAATTTTCTTCGGCATACAGTAAAGTTTTTTTCTCGTGGTAATTTTGGTTATAATTCATTTCCTAAAGCCAATATTACTACAGCCGCGAAACCGTCCCATTACACACTGAAAATTATATAATATAATATGAAAATGTTTTCTAGATAATCTATATCTATTCTTATAGTACTTAGCAAAGTACTATATAATATATAGTACTGAACCAAAAAAAAATGTTTATCTTGGCTTGTTCGTGTATATCAGTCACTTCGTATATATGAAAAAAAACTTTTTTAAAAACAAGCTTTTATTTAAATACACTAAAAAGAAAAAAATAAACTTTGTCTTTAAAACTTTTATTATGAACTTATAACGTCATTACACATTTTAATATTATATAAAAGCTTGTCGCGAGATTTCTCTACATCAATAAACAAGTAAATTAACTAAAACCTGTGTCTACCCTGTCTCATTTTCAAAGTTTGTGTTATGATAGACCACTAGACCAGGAATTACAAGATAAAGTTGTCGTACCAGATTTTTACGAGTGCAACTGTACACTCAAATCTCGCGACAAGCTTTTATATAATATTAAAATTGTGTAATGACGTTATAAGTTCATAATAAAAGTTTTAAAGACAAAGTTTATTTTTTCTTTTTAGTGTATTTAAATAAAAGCTTGTTTTTAAAAAAGTTTTTTTTCTAAAATTTATTTATACTATTTATTGTATTAAAAGGCAAATTTTTTACACTAGTGCAAAAAACACCTTGACATTATGAATGACAATGGAAATTAAGTTTATCCATCAAGAAAAAAAAACTTAAAATAACTTTCACCGAACAGATATTTGTGTTATATATTTATTGTCTTAATGAGAAACGATTTTAAAACATCTCTATTCTTTGTTTAGTCTGATTTGATATTAGTACACGTTTCCTTAACACAAACTTCAACGAAAGTCACAATTCATTTTCAGGAAAATCTGTAACTATTATCTTTACCTCCTACCTACTACTATTTATACTTATTACAACAAATTAAATTAAAATTCATGTTTTGTTCTTAACTTGCTTAACAGACATATTAAATTTTATATCCGCCACATTTTTTTGAAGCACCCTGTATACTCTATAATAATTTTAAAACGTGTATTTTAACTTTCCCTATAACTTTTATATTTAACATTTTTTTGTAAACCTCGAAACAAACAAGATAATGGACTTTAGTCTATCGTTGACTCACCCTGTACAGAGTGATCCAAAAAAAGCTTTATATCAGGTTTCCTGATATTAAATAAAAATGCCTCAGTTTCTTGATAATATTATACAAAAATACTAATTATAATTTATATACAGGGTTGTTCACCACATACGACACGGAGTATTGTAGCTAAACGATTAGATTTTTACAAATTTTAACTTTTGGGTTCGTTGAAGGACTATTAGAGCTACAATTTAGAAATAATTTTACAAGATACAGAGTGTCCCAAATAAGTAAAATATGCTATAGTGGTATTTTTTTAAATGGAGCACCATGCATATTATTCTATTTTTAGATTCTACGATTGAAATAAAGGTAAATTTTATTAAGGTTTATCACACTTAAACCTTACCGTTTTTGAAATATTTTCAATTTTGTGAAATGGCAGTAAAAATGTTAAGGCTTCATTTCTCCAAGGGTATCAAAGTTTTTAATACTAAATATTTACTGAAGTTTATTTATTGGTCAGTTATTGTATCGCAATAATAAAAATTATACTACCTTCCACAGAGTGTCTAAAATTTTATTTTAAATAATTACTAGCTTTAAACGGCAATAACTTGTTTAATTTAAATGGAACGCCCTGTATATTTTAGGAGAATCAGATGCATAATTTAATTGTCTATCAAATTGTATTATACCACTTTTTACCTATCCCTTCAAGTTTTCGTAGAAAATGCATTTTCTTATAATTTAGACCTCATTTATCAATATACCCATTGAATATTGACATTTTAGATTGTCTTTAAGCAACAAATGTACAAAATGTACAGGCTAGTAATATTATCGTTTTTAACAGAATGATAATATTACTAGCCCATTTGTATACAAAAAGAAAACTATTCAAAATCTTCATAAAAGAATATACCATTAATTAAATATACCACCATTATTTCCGCCCAAATACTAATTAATTACATACTTAATTATGCTCGTGAATTCATTATTCTAAATAAATGTGGATTTAAATCAGAAATCAATATAATAATAAGTTATAAAAATGAACGTCTCTGTTGTTACAAATAAGCATATGTCAAAAAATGAAATATCATTTTTAAGGTGTTACTTTTTACCACACTGTCTAATACACATAAAAAAATCAGTATTTTAGTTTTTGGAGCAATTATTATTAATCAACGCAAACAGTCAATTAATGTAGTTTGAATACTGGAATCATATTAATTGGTCCTCTTTAACAAATATTTAAACAGTTTTTTTATTTTTTAATGAAATAAACAAACTATATCGACAATATTAGTATCTGTACTTTTAAAAATTTGGTACATCTTTAAAAATAATCTAAAATGTCAGTATTCCATGGGTATGTTGATAAATGAATTAAAATTACAAGAAAATGCATTTTCTACGGAAACTTGAAGCTATAGGTAAAAAATGGTATACCTAATACAATTTGATAGACAATTAAATTGTGCATCTGATTCTCATAAAATATACAGGTTGTTCCATTTAACTTAAACAAGTTATTGCAGTTTAAAACTAATAATTATTTAAAATAACATTTTAGACACTCTGTATAAGGTAGTATAATTTTTATTATTGCAACACAATAACTGATCAATAAATAAACTTCAGTAAATATTTAGTCTCGTATTTAGTATTAAAAACTTTGATACCCTTGGAGAAATGAAGCCTTAAAATTTATTGACTGCAATTTCACAAAATTGAAAATATTTCAAAAACGGTAAGGTTTAAGTGTAATAAACCTTTATCAAATTTACCTTTATTTTAATCGTAGAAACTAAAAATGTAATAATATACAGGGTGTTCCATTTAAAAAAATACTAACTTAAATAATAACTTTGATATGTTTGATTTATTTGGGACACTCTGTATCTTGTAAAAATATTTTTAAATTGTAGCTCTAATAGTCCTTCAACGAACCCAAAACTTACAATTTGTAAAAATCTAATCGTTTAGCTACAATACTCCGTGTCGTATGTGGTGAACAACCCTGTATATTACTTTAGTTTTTTCTAAATTTATTTAGAGACCTACTTTACTGCTGGCTGTATTTAGTTTGTTGACTTGTGCCTGTAGTCCTTCAGGACTATTGACAGTCCTAATGTCATCTGCGAATCTTAGATGGTTGGTATTTGATTATTTGAACAATTAAAATGATGTCAATAAGTAATTATCAGTTTCTTGAGTTTCTGCATTCTTAAATGTGATTAGTGAGCTTATGTGTAATTTGTTTCTATGCCCTAAATAAATTTTCTGTTTTAGCTAAACCGCTACGATGTGACAAATGCAAGAAATCGTACAAGCTAAAGAGTTCCCTGTATACTCATCAAAAGTACGAGTGTGGCAAAAGCAAGTCCTTCGGCTGTTCGAATTGCAAGAAACTATTTTGGCATAAGCACAGTCTTCGAGAGCATATCAGCAAAAAGAGGTGCAGATTACTGAACATAGAAAGTTTGTTCTTGGACAAAATACTGTAATCTAAACATATCCTATAATATATTTAATTAATGACTAGTAATTAGAAATGATTATGCTTTAAGTCTAGTAGCAAAACAAATACACCAGGTGTCCCCAAAAGACATATACCCAGTTCTGTAGAAATTCTTAAACTAGGCTGACTTTTTCGGTTCACCCTGCATATTTATTTAGTCTTTAGTAACATACTTGTATCGTTTTTATTAATTCGCTAAAATAAATTTAACAAATCGCCATATATGTATACGAAACAGATGTAATTTTATAAAAACTAAGATAGAGATATTAAAAAATGTCAAAAAATTATCAAGTAATTTTATTTCAATAATATTAGGGCTGTTTAGCCATAATTCAACGTTACGTCATCATTATATGTCAAATATGGGTTTTAGGGTGTGTCTGAGAACAGTTCATATTGTTTAGAAAATTTTAAGTACGTTCCGCCCCTAGATCACATATACTTACGTGGATAAGTAAATCACTATGGAAACTGTCGCCCACATATCAACGACTTCCATTTATTTTCCTATTTTGTTGCAAACGCAGTGCTTCTACTCTAACTATCCTTGTCCAGGACTTATCGTCCACGCGCCAAATTTGAACATTAATTTTAAAAATTTAATATATAAAATGCATATAGTTGAAAAATAAATTGAATGTTTACTGTCAGAAAAATTAAATTATATAAAAAATACATTTAGCCACTCCATACGAATATCAATATTCTTAGGAAATCTAACCAGAAAGTATGCCATGTGGTTTAATATAAATAAAAGAACAACTGAATACTTACTTGCCTATGAAAAGATAATTCGGGGACATTTATATTAGAACTTCCACATACCAAACACTTTCTAGACATTTTTACGAGTATTTAGAAAGTCCAATGAAAAAAAAAGAAATATAATTAAACAAACTTAAAATTAACTTCTCACTGAACACACTCCTTGGCTCTATAAAAGCGGTTGATAAAAGAGTAATTAATACAATTTTTAAAATAAAAAACGAAAAAAATACGCGTCACACAGTGGACATAAGATTATGACATATGATTATGACAATATGATGACATTGAAAAGTTGGTTTTCATAACAATGTAGGGCGGGAAAGTGAAATAGCAACCAAGCGGTTCCACCGTTTCTACGGAAATTTGAAATAATATAGTTCCAGCCTCAGGCGCTAGGTGGTGGTGCAATTAATTTTTAGGTTAAGAAGTTGCTACGAGTTTTTGCCAGATGGCGTTAAATCAGAATTTTTTTGTAGTTTCCATAGTTTCCAACGGCCATTGTCATACTATTGTCAAATTCTCAAAAATCATTGTCGTTGTCATAGCGCCAATCATAATATTATCAAATGATTATCAAAACGTTTTTCAAACTATAATTTGTTATAGGTATGTGTTTTAATTAGACAATTCCTTTTGTTTGTGGCCCTAAAAATATAATGTAAGTCTTTTACTTTTGCTATCATTTAAATACCTATTTATATCTACTCCATTTACAAAACTTTGGGCGTATTACGTTGGTCTTGTTTTATTATAATAAACGATGTTTAAATATTTGACTTATAAATAAAAACTTTAAATAATAAATAATATTTCACATGTTTGGCTTTAATTTTATTTAAAAATTGTATAAATTATACTGTTAAATCTTATTTTTTACACATCACAACGATACTTGTTATTAGTATTGTTGAATTTGTGTAAAAAATAAGATTCAATAATCAAATTTAATTATTTTAGAGTATAATTCAATAAATACGCTCATTTAAAAAGCCCGCGCTTCGATCTATTTAAAACGTAAAAGCCCTACTCAATAGATGGCGCCACTTCTGTAGGACCATTTTTCAGTATGGCAGAGTCCATTCTTTTTCTAGCTAGGTATATTCTTTGATGTATAATTTGTACTTTCTAAAACCGTATAAAATTTTGATTATTTTGGAAATACGTGCAACTTTTAATGCGCATGCGCAAAATAAGGTCCTCGACAAACCTGTTGAACGTTTCATAAGTGCAATAAAGAAGGTTTGAAAATAGCATGTCGTGATGTTGGATACATATTTTCTTATGCTAAACTTATGGCGTTGATTTATCCACGTAAGTATATATGATCTAGGGTTTTAGAGAGTTCGACAATATATGACGTGACGTTGAACGATAGCTATGAACATTCTATAGCTGTGAAATGATTAAAAAAGGTAGGTTAAATTCTTACAGATATAGAGATTACTTACAGAAGTTATTTTAACGTTAATTTAATTTTCAATATATTCAAAATTTACTGTGGTACTTTTCGGATTGATTTTGATGGTTTTTTTTCAACTTTTTTCTTTCTTGTGATATATTTTTTTTTTAATTTTTAGGTGGCAAGAAATTTTGTTGCGTCACTTGTCAGAAATCGTACAAAGAAAAACGTTACTTGGTTAGGCATGTGCGTTACGAATGCGGAAACAAGGGAAAATACTATTGCAAAACTTGCGACAACAACTTTAAAAGGAGATACAGGTGGTTAGCGCATAGCTGCCAAATGAAAACTGACAAACGTTAAGAAATAGCTTTATGGCAAACTGAATTATTTTATTTTTGTGATATTTTTGGGTTTTCTATACAGGGTGAGTTTTGAATAAGTTCAAATAGTTTTAGGGGGGGATAGTATATTTCTACCCCAGAAACACCAACATCTATGAGGTTTTTTCGGCAAAATTTTTTTTGGAAATTTAGAATTTTTTGAAATTATTTTTGATTTTTTTAAAATATTTGGATGAAAATTGGTGTCTGGGAGTTTTTTGACATGACAAATTTGATTTTGATGTCAATATGACTCCTATTTGTTTCTAACTGTTTTGAAGAATAATAACTTTTCGTCCGTACCTGTATAAAAGCTTTTCAAGCCAGTTAAAAAATATATAGGTGGCGCCCTCTAACAAGTAGGAGCCGGAAGTTTTCGGAATATAGTTCGGACCACACTGTATATTTTCTAATTTTGAAGGTAAAATATCTTGATTATTTTTGACTTATTTTAAAAAACGGCAAAGACAAAAGTCTTTTATCTAGATCTACCAGCCCTGAAAATATTTGCACTTATTTAAGTCTCACCCTGTATAGTGAACCGTGAGAATATTGGAAATAGTGTTTTATGTGCTTAATTATTATTAATATTTCAACTCAGATTGTTGCACTAAAATTTAAAAAATATAGAAATTGTTTTTTTACTTTTTATTTTTTAATTGTTCGCCATCTAATAAAAAAATAATATACACGGTGTTCCATTTAAAAGAACGGAGAAAAATTATTTAATATTTTAGAAAGTTTGGCGTAGAATTTTGAACACTCTGTATGATTTAAAATTACGCCATTTTTAGTAAAGTAAGTATAGACCATCTAAGATATTTTGATGTGATTTTAAGCTCTGGTATTTTTTTTCCCAGCCAGGAATATCTACAGTCTGTTTATATCGTGCATAGATTATGTGCGATATTAGGCTTTCTCGATGGATACAACTGACTATCGCAAGCTATTTTATTATTTTTAGCTGTATATCTTCTTAGACATTGTGAGTGATCTTAAATTTTTGTTGTTCAAAAGGAAAAATGATCATAAAATGAATTTTTATTTTTAGTCGATCGCAACTATAGAACAAATAAAGATGGCATGATGGAATGTCTACAGTGTCACAAAAAGTACAAAGTCCGCTCCTGCGTCGTCAGACATCTTAAATTCGAGTGTAACAAACAACCAGCATATTCGTGCTATACATGTAGTAAGCATTACAGAAGAAAGGAAAGTTTGACGCATCATTGCACTACCAAGAGACATATAATTAAAACACAAGCTCAATCCTACTGATAAAATTTAAAAAAATGCTTAGTTTAGCATTATTTTCAGTTATTTAAAGGAATTCATATACAGAACATCCTGAATTGGCGTGTTAAATGCTGTCAGCATAGCTTGTATATGAATTTATTTATGAAAATTTTAAAAATAGTCATATGTATTTGTATTTATTGTACCTGTACTGTATTTGTATATATTGTACCTGTATACTTATTTGTATACAGGGTGGTCCGAACTGTAATCACTGATTTCTGGTTTTAGAGACTACTAGAGAGAATTTTGCAGTAATTTTTTAGTGTTAGTTTCACTGGCGATGTAATAAATGTTACAATAAGACCAACAATTCTAGTCTATAATAAAATTATTTGTCTGACATTTTTTTTATTTCTTCATAAAGACAGTGAAAATAAGTATTTAAAACATACAAGGGTTGTCTCAAAAATTTTCTGTCTCACTATGGTATAACAAAATCAATTGTCAACAAAATCAATGCAATTTGCGATTTCCCAACTCTTTAAAGTATGCATATACTGATCTGGTCATCGAAACTGCGTAGTCTGGATTTTAACGTGTAAGACAGTGGTGTAGACAGCTTAAATGAACAATCAAATGTATTAAAAAGAGATAAAAGTTAGGTTGATATATTATTTCTTCTATGCGCTATTGCCGGATTTTGTATCAACATTTCAAACCACACAAGTAGGTGTTATGTTAGGTTAGGGTTGGAACTTTATGGGATGGCCATCTTGGATTTTTCAGCCAGAAACCTCCTGGCACCTCTCCTGTTTGATACGATCTAAGTAGCTTCTAAATAAGATGTCAACCGGGCTTAACTGTACTATACAGGGTGGTCCGAACTGTATTCCGGAAACTTCGGCAGCATATTCTGCAGATAAAAATAAGTAAAAAAGTTCGTATAAATGTATGTCCTAAAATGCTTAGTTTCGGAGATACAGGGTGTAGAAGGTTAATTTTTATTTCGATTTTTTCCAAATAATTTATGAAATAACGTCAATATTTAAATAAAAATTGGTGTCTGGGACATGAGAAATTTGATTTTGATGTCAATATGACTCTTACTTGTAGAGGGAGCCACCTACATATTTTTTAACTGGTTTGAAAGCTAATAACTTTAACTTAA